TAATATAGCCAACCCATTTGTTTTCTGAGTATGTCACTGCACACACACTCAGAGATCCCTTAATCAGACAAATCCAGGATACCACTAAACAATGAAAAAAGAAGACAATGCAAGCAGCAAATAAGCACTCTGGTTGACCAAACACTAAAGCTTAAACACATTACTCAGAGCAGAGTATCACGGTTCTGAATTAGAAACTCATTTCTAGTATGACAGTTTGTGTTATTTAAAAAAGAGAAACCCATTTCTTATGATTTTAGAGTCAATTCAGACAAGCACATTGATTAGTGTCTCTAACTGAACACAGAAAATCATAGTGGGAATTGAGGTTGGAAAGTGACAATGGTAAGAGCTTTTATAATGTGAGGAAGTAAACAGGAAAAGTATAATCACAAAGATAAAATTCCCAGCACTAGCTGGGCATGGTGGCTCAGGTCAGTAAACCAAGCACTTTGGGAGGCTGAAGGGGGAGGATCCCTTGAGCTCAGGAGTTTGAGACCCCATCTCTACCAAACATATTAATTAAAAAATTAGCCAGAGAGAGGCATGGGACGGTGGCATGCACCTGTGGTTCCAGCTACTCAGGACATTCAGATGGAAGGATCACTTGAGCCAGGGAATTCAAGGCTGCAGTGAGCCATGATCATGCCACTGCACTCCAGCCTGGGCAACAGAGTGAGATCCCATCTTGAAACAAATTAAAAAAAAAAAAAAAAGTCCAAGCACTCTGAGATCCCTTTAAGTACAAATGAACTGTCACATTTCAGTCATCTGCAAGTACTAAAGGATTAAACCATATTCAGTTTTTTGTGTTTGTTTGTTTGTTTGTTTGTTTTTTGAGACAGAGTCTCACCTTGTTGCCCAGACTGGAGTGCAGTGGCGCTGTCGCAGCTCACTGCAGCCTCCGCCTCCTGAGTTCCAGCGATTCTCCTGCCTCAGCCTCCCGAGTAGCTGGGACTACAGGTGCGCACCACCACGCCCAGCTAATTTTTGTATTTTTAAGTAGAGGCAGGGTTTCACCATATTGGCTAGGCTGGTCTCGAACTCCTGACCTTGTGATCTGCCCACCTTCGCCTCCCAAAGTGTTAGGATTACAGGCGTGAGCCACTGTGCCTGGCCTCATATTCATAATACGAGGCCAGGCACAGTTATTTTATAAAGAAAAATCAGTACACCATAAATTACTTTTTTTTTTTTTTTTTGAGACGGAATGTCACTCTTGTTACCCAGGCTGGAGTGCAATGGTGTGATCTCAGCTCACTGCAACCTCCGCCTCCTGGGTTCAAGCGATTCTCCTGCCTCTGCCCCCCAGTAACTGGAATTACAGGTGCCCAAGACCACGACCAGCTGATTTTTTGTATTTTTATTAGAGACGAAGTTTCACCATGTTGGCCAGGTTGGTCTCGAACTCCTGACCTCAGGTGATCCACTGCCTCAGTCTCCCAAAGGGCTGGGATTACAGGTGTGAGCCACCACGCCTGGCCCATGAATTACTTCTTAAAGGATTTCATCAAATACAGTTATTTTGCTTTTTGTTTCATATTTTACACAAAAAGGAACTGTTCAAATATTTAGAAAATTCAATTGTGAGAAACAAGGCTAGATAAGGTCTTACTGTAAGTTAACTGATGACAGTGAACTCTCTCTGACCTTTACTCATAGAATCATTGTCATTCACCTAATTTACAACAGGAAGAAATACATTTTTTTCCAACAGCTGTTCTGATCTGATTTACACTACCTGCCCTGGTCCCACTGACCAGTGACATAAGCATGCAGCCACTATTATTGAACACAACAGTCCTAACTGATGCTTGAAATCTGTTCAACATTTCCTTCTCAACCAGGCTACAGAAAAAACAATCATCAAACTAGGAATTGCTAGAGACTGGATGTGGGATGGCAGTAACGCAAAAGCAAAACACAGCAAGTCATTTTGGAGAAGGCAGTATCTTCAAGATCACAGCAGATTAGTGAAGTTCTATTTTTAACTAGTTACAGTTGACCTGGTTTCTCAAGATGTTTTGAAGATGACACATAAAATCAATGAATTCTCATTTTTGGTTTCAAAAACCATTTTGTCAGTCATAGAATTCAATACTGCAATATCTTTCTCTATTATTTTAGTTTAAAATGTGCATAATTACTTTGTTATTAATAATTCCCAGTACCTTTAGAGTCAAGTTATTTTCATTTAATTTCATATCCTCCAACTAAGTATTTTCCAAAGCTCCATTTCTCTCCAATTAATTCCTTCACTCAAAAATTTGGCAGGGCGTGGTGACTCATGCCTGTAATCCCAGCACTTTGGGAGGCCAAGGCAGGCGGATCACGAGGTCAGGGGATCGAGACCATCCTGACTAACATGGTAAAAACCTGTCGCTACTAAAAATACAAAAAAAAAAAAAATTAGCTGGGCGTGGTGGCACGCACGAGTAGTCCCAGCTATTCAGGAGGCTGAGGCAGGAGAATTGCTTGAACCTGGGAGGCGGAGTTTGCAGTGAGCCGAGATCATGCCACTGCACTCCAGCCTCGGTGACAGAGCAAGACTCCATCTCAAAAAAACAAATAATAAATATACAAAAAATTACTTGGGTGTGGTGATGGGCACCTGTAATCCCAGCTACTTGGGAGGCTGAGGCAGGAGAACTGCTTGAACCCGGGAGGCGGAGGCCGCACTGAGCCAAGACCACACAATTGCATACCAGGTTGGGCGACAAAGCAAGACTCTGTCTCAAAGAAAAAAAAAAAAAAGCAATTTACTGAGCACACACTCTGCTAGGTACTTGGGTTGGAACCCAGACATTCAACAGGGAATGTGCCTATTGAGTTTAGTACATTTGGGGAATCAAACTGAATTAAATGTCATCTAGTTTCTCAGTGCCTCTTTGAGATAGCTGTAGACACTCTAGGGATGTACAAAAAAAAATGAGGTCTGAACTTAGGATGTAACAAATAACTGTCTATTTAATGTGAACATGCTACATACTTGAATTTATCCAGTACATTTACCTACATATCAAATTATCAAATGTCCAAAGGATTACAATCTATTTTTCTCCCCAAATGCCTTTCTTACACATGAGCACTAAATGTCATGGTAAAGTGCTAATGATTCTCAAAATGCAAAACTTGGGAAAAAAATTGTAAAAGATTAACTTTCTTTTAGGAAAAGAAAAAGGACATAAGATAAACTTGAACAAAGTAATGAAATTACCTCCAGATTTTTTTTTTTCAAGGCTGAGTGTGGTGATTCACACCTATAATCCCAGCACTTTGGGAGGCTGAGGTGGGAGGATTGCCTGAGGCCAGGAGTTCAAGACCAGCCTAGGCAACATAGGGAGATCCTCCCCCGCCCCCGATCTCTATGCAAAATAAAAAATTAGCTGAGCATGGTGGTACATGCCTATAGTTCCAGCTACTCAGTAGCCAAGGTGAGAGGATAACTTGAGACCAGGAGGTAGAGGCTGCAGTGAGCCATGATTGTGCCACTGCACTCCAGTCTGGGGGACATGACAACACCCTGTCTCAAAAATAATAAACAAAATTTTAAAATTAAATTTGAAAACAGTTCTGGGCATGGTGACTTAAGTCTATAATCGCAGCACTTTGGGAGGCTGAGGCAGGAGGATCACTTAAGCTCCGGAATTTAAGACCAGCCTGGGCAACATAGTGAGACTGCATCTCTACTAAAAATGTAAAGAAAACAAAAATTAGCTGGGTGTGATAGTGAACAACTACTGTAGTACCAGTTACTTAGAAGGCTGAGGTGGGAGAATCACTTGAGCCCTGAGGTTGAGGCTGCAGTGAGCCATGACTGAGTGCCATCGCACTCCAGCCTGGGTGACAGAGGGTGACCCTGTCTCAATAAAAACATAATAAAAAAGAAAAAAAAAAATCAGGACTTGGAATCCTAATTTGAAAATGAAACAAAACACAGAAGAACCTATCTAAAACAGTAATAGGCTGACAGGAGTCTTTTTAGGAATTCTTGTGTATTCTACTCACACTTGTATAAAATTGTAAGCATCTCCAAATGTTATACAGCTCTAAATAAAGTGGAGAAAAGGGGTAGCCAGGTAATTCAAATAACAGAAATTTTTTCTTCCCAAATTACTTACTGAAGCCATGAAGCAAAACTTACCTACACAAAAATCTAGAGATCTGTGATTAGTAAACATTTAAACCGTTGACAAATTCTTTCCTTGATATTCAACGGCATCCTTCCAAGAATGTGGTTAACCAATGAACTCAATCAAGTTCAGTTGTGTCTATGACTGTGCTGTCTAAATGACTAACCGAAAAGTAAAATATCCAAAATAGCTGCTTTTCTTATGCAGTAAACATACCCCAACACTATGCACACAGGTGCACCAAATTAGTCTATTTGTGCTGCTGCAACAAAATACCTGTAATTTGTAAAGAACAGAAATTTATATTTCTCACAGTCTGGAGGCTGGCAAGTCCAAGATCAAGGCGCTTGCAGGTTCCACATCAGGTGAAGGCCCCTTCTTCACAGATGACACCATCTAGGTGTCCTCCTGTGGCAGAACAAGAGAAGAGCAAAATGGGCCTAAGCTCGTTCCTTCCAGCCCTTTATATAAAAGGCACTAATTCGTTCATGAAGACAGGGTGCTCATGTCTTGAATCACTTCCCCAAAAGCCCAACCTCTTAATACCACCATAATGGGGATTAACACATGAATTTGGGGTGGTAGGACACATATATTCAAACTATAGCATGTACTTTTCAACATCTTAAAACAGATTCCCGTGATCTCAAGAGGCCAGACTAAACAAAAATCAGGGCGTATCTTTGGTTAATCTTTAAAACGTTAAACTCTATATTGAGAGTGAGTGGAATACACAAGTATGACATTAAATTAGACATTCTGCCGGCTGACACAAAACTTGCACTTCCTTTTTCATTAGCCAATAGGTACAGCTATAATTGTAGACAGAAATTATAATTAGAAATAATGAGAGCAATTTCTTGGATTCTCCACCTTTAAATTATATTTTATTCAGACTTATCCTTTGAAATTACTCATGATTAGCCTCTCTTCTTCATGTGAGAATTTAGGAAACCTATTGCTGTGGCATCTTTACAGAAAAAAAAAAATGCATCTTTACATGCATACGTGTAAGAAAGTTTCCTACAAACACTACAATTTAAAAACCACTCTATCCAAAAAGCATTGTAAAAGTATAATTTTGCATTTTATTCATTCATTCCATCAGCTGGGAATTGCTCTATTGTACAAATACAGTTTTGTACAAAAAAATCACAAAATGTTACAAAATAAAAAAAGTACAAACTGCATTACTTAATAAATATGACTAAAAGTAGTTAAAGTGGCAATGAGATAGATTTTAAGTTGGAAACATTGTTTGACCCAGCAAACCATACAAGCTCTGTTTACAGACATTTCTACATTAATACAGGGCAATCCTATTTCACCTTCTGAAAGAATGTAAAAGAAATATTAAGACAGTGTTCTCCTGCTGTAACTGCCAAGGGTGGCTCCAGACACTTATGCCATTAGTTTATAAATCTCTTAGTTGGACCCAAGAAGTTAAAGCAGGAGGCTTATCTTGTCACAGAGTTTTATACCATGTTAACATTCTCTTTAAAGCAAAATAACAAATGTCAATAAAAACAACTGAGAGCACCAGACGATCTTCTACTCTACACATCAACCAGGGTACAGAATAATCATTCTGCCATCAGCAAATATCAGACTTTCATTCAAGTAAGACCTGGTACTATCCCTTAAAACAGGAAAAAAAAAAGAAAAAGAAAAAAAACACCTTCCCACAACCTTCCATTAAGTAATTTTCTTTAAAAGATTCACCATTTCTAGAAAAATAATGATTTCCAAAACAACAGCTCTGTTTCATCAAAATGGAATGGGCCAAACATCTGGTAACAAGAATGTTTCAATATGCATTTGAAATAATTATCTAAGAATTGTGAAATTCAAATTTCAACAACATAAAATAACTACCAAATCACAAACTCTGTTCAAAATAATACATTTCATATAAAGCACTTCTCTGGATTTATGCCTGAACACATCATAGATGAAGGTACACCAGTTTTTAAAAATGTGCAAAAATACATTTTTATAGAAAATAGACTACCAGGAATGAACAAATTTACACTGTGAGAAATCAGCTTGCAAATTAAGTAGTGCTCACTTTATACAGCAAATTATAAATAGCAATAAAATCACCCAAAGCTATCATGAAACATCATTTAGGTGGCCCAGCAACCTTCAGCTCTGAGAAAACATTCAAAAAGATGATTAAGGCATTACACCTACAATAAAACCTACTAGCAAGTTTGAAAGTGCTATTACCCTGATTACAGTTCATGTGATTCTCCAAACACAAGTTATGTATGCAATTATTCCCAGGGTGTAAGGTTTAGAGACATTTCAAGAGCATGCATTTTGTTCAATATACATTTTGGATAGGGATATGGCCATAGATTTGGCAAGTTCTTCGTCGCGTTTCCTTTGCACTTGAGTTTGTTTGCACCAGTTGTCGTACTCTGGGTTAGGATAGGAGTGATCAAACACAGCATCATAGTGTCCGTTACTGAGCCAACTGAGCCAAATACTAGGCCTCAGGGAATCCTCTGGGCCCAAATAATGAATCATAGTAGACACCGTGGGGCTCTCCAGCCTCCCTCCAGTAGTTAAGTGGATATTCACATTCAGCATCTGCCCCATGGCCAGCAATTCCGGGTACCCAGCCCATGCCCCGTCTTGGGCAGCAGCGATGATAAACTCCCCCACGTCGCCCTCAATCAGGGGGCTGAAGTGGTCGAGATGGTCGGCGATATAGTGCACCGTCTGCTCCCTCAGCTCCCGGTGCAGGCTCTGGTCCCCATACACCGTCTTGCTGACAGCTCGGTAGAGACAGTTGCCGTCGGGAATGATGTGGAATCGGTACTTATTCCTCTGCCGCAAGTACTTGTCCTGCTTCTCCACCTCGGCCAGGTACAGGGCCAGCTTCTCGTCTCTGGCATCTGACCTGGAGACGATCACCGGCTCCGCCGCGCTGCTCGGGGCGGTCTCGATGCTCCGGGCTGGGGGTGCCTCGGCCTCTG